TGGATATTACTGCATATATGTATCAAAATAAGCGCAAAAAATAAGTTTACACATTAACAGTATGTCGATTTTTTTTCTTTCTTATAAAACCCCGACAGCAAAATATCTCCCGTTCTGAGAGATCACCCATGTGTCCTTTCTGTAAACATCGGCTATCTTATCAGGATGGACCGCGAGTGTAAACTCGTGTATTCAATCTGAAAATTAATCATCACATACTTCATATATGAATCATCAGTTTCTATTTCATTTAAAGTTCTGATATAAAACAAATCGATCCTGTCCCCCTTATCGTTAAGGTCAATATCGGTGTTTATCCTGTGGTCAGCTTGGTCAATAGACATAAACTTCGCCACTATCTAAATAAGTAGAGTCCCGGACGCGTGTCTGACCTTGGGTCAGGTCAATCACATTTTATGGAGTCTCGGAAGTGTCCACTGACAGGAATTCGTCAGATGGTTGTCATTTGTCAATCCGTCAATCTGAATTCTGAGGAACTCGTTTCATCTTCATGCTCTGTGTGTATATCGGCACGTTGAAACATGTGTTTAACATGTCTATTTTTCTGTCCACCAGAAAGCTATGATAAACAGTTTGTGATTTGTCCGTGCATCAAACCTTTGGAAACAAGTTTCAAATCTTTATGGCTTGTTTATTCTTCAGGCTGTGTGGTACACACAGGGATCGCACACAATGATGTGTAGGAATATTATAAATATATATATAGGTATATAGGTATAACCTACTCTGTGATGTTCCCAGTGTACATGTATGTACCTCAGTATGGCGCTGATTCTGAAGGTTGTATTGCGGAGGAGGTATTGAAGAGACACAGGCTGATCTGTCGGTCTCATTTCAATATTCAGTAATTTGTAGGAAGTGTCGCGTATCATTCCTGTTGATCCCCCTGTGTGAACGTAAAATCATTCACTATTTAACATCTGACGTAGAGATGAGTATTTGTCTGGTCTAAAATAATCAATCCTGTTTTTTTGTGAAGTAATAAAAACAGCGATTACGAATATGATTCCAATTGTTGGTAATACATTCTTCACGTTGACAGCATTACACTGCAAAAGCATCAAGTTTTTAATGTGATCGTTTTAATCTGGTCCGAACTTCTGCCGTAGTCTTTTTATACAAATGTAGTAACAAGGTCGCAACGTTACAATAACTTGGAAAAAAGAATTGATGAAACACAAGAACAGATGAAAGCAACAAAAAAATATGTCTATTTAGATAAAAACAAGGAGGATAAGACGGACATCTACAGACGATGGGGACCGGAGACAGGTAATAGAACGGGTGCAAAGACGGACAGCTACAGACGATGGGGACCGGAGATAGAGGTGATAGAACGGGTGTAAAGACGGACAGCTACAGACGATGGGGACCGGAGATAGAGGTGATAGAACGGGTCTGTTCACATAAAGTCAAATGCACGTGAAAGTTGAATATACACCGAAATAGATGATAAATTACAAAAAATGTACATATGGTGAAGCTGATAGGAAGATAAAATTCGCTCAGAAGCTTTGCGGTTTGTGACTGTTTCTCAGCCAAATGCACATTATGTGTTTACACCGTCAGGAGCAGGTTAACGTGATGGCGTTGATAATAATAGTGTTTATTTATCTATATATTTATGACAGTACTAGATTTATAGTTTTCAAATGTTGGTCGCTCAGAAGACTGAAAATCACTCAGGACTTAAAAAAAAGTGTTAAAGAACTTGTGGACTCGAGCCGGATTTTGTGATCCGGCTTTGGTTATTTTATTATAACTCTATCTTTCTATGTCTGTAATACCCGTTTACATACTTTCCCTTTGCCGGCTAATACACCTTGTTTAGATAATACTAGAGCTCATGCAATATAAAGGTACATACCAAGCTAACTCAGTAACAGCTTTGGTGTACAAGATGAAGGCAAAAGCTAAAGCTTGAAACTGAAATAACCCCGAGAGTGGGCTCATCCTCGATACTCAAGGGGTTACGCTCACTTTCGCTCTCTGCACTGTGGATTATCGAGGCTGGGTTAGACTGTAACGCTTGCCAACATCTATAACACTCCCTATTGTAACCCCTATCACTAGTATAACACTGATTTGAACAAATTGAACCCCTATTTTACCCCTTTGAAGGGCTGCCAGTATTGGTTGACATGCCGAAACATTTTTTAACAAAAACTATGAGTTTTGATCTTTGTAGATAAATAATTATTTTTTATTAAAGCATACAGGAAAAATGAACATCGTTTTGTCTTTATTTTGCCGTCCAGACGTCAAAGAGTGTTTAAATTAAGCCTTTTATAGTAGCTAAACAAACCGAATCGACGAATGTGGTCATCCATTATGGACGAATCACGCACTTCCGGTTTCTCGATAAATCGCATTTCAAAAATAACTCATGACGTTTGGAAGATGTGGATGAACAGGAATTCGAAAATCAGACATCTTTGATAATTATTCGTTCGTTTAATGTAGTCTTTCTAACGCTGAAATATCGTTAAACCGTAGGTTTCACTGATAGAAGATCCTTCAAGTTCAAATTAATTTTCGGTTTCGATAATGTTTATGATGTATATCCCGTTAATACAAATGGGTGGGATTACAATTCTGGACTTTAGGCATGTCAGTATCATGTCCTGAAAATTGTACAAGATAAACGTTTTAAATACAAAAACAAACTTAGGTATCCTTAAGGTGTGGTGTCTCGTTCGTGTGACCACGTTGGGAGGTTTTAAGGCGAATTATGCCAACATATCAGACAGACAAATTACCGGATGTATTTTTGTATTTCTGTGGTTTATCTAAAATCCATTTACCGAAAACTTTATTTCATAAGCCCATTTACCTGCGTGAATCGATCCCGACCATGTTAGATATCCAATTCCTCTTTGAACCGCTCAAGAGTCATTATACCTCAATCATACACAAGCCGGGTATCTCGGTCTCAGCTCTCAGGGAAGTCAATCATCTCTCAAGTGTCTGTTTAAAAGTAAAGGTTGTGTTTTAAACTTAACTCACTGGTAAGTGCTTTCTCGTTTACACAGATGAGTATCTCCTTAAACGAGATCATTGAACACGGAGATAGATTTTACATGTCTGATTTACTAGACTTCCACCTTGATGGGCTCAATAGGACATAAAACAGCAGATAGATAGCATGTCTTAATGGCATATTAGAGTCTAGATAATGATATCTCGTTTTTGCCTCGTTATCCTAACTATCCGCCAGGTCTGTCTCGCCGCTGTATCGTCACAATTACTTGACCATTTCCAAAGATAAGAGGGTTGATACTTTCGTCTATGCGTCCGTTTGGTCTTGTATATCTATGTTGACTTATATAATAGTAGGGTGGTTGGGTGGCAAAGTGGATCACCAAGGCGACCGGGGTACTATTCTCTGATCGGACGTGAAATAGTAATCAAGTATGGGGTCACCCGTCCCGACAGTGGGTTTTCTCCGGGAACTCTGGTTGTTTCCCACATTAAGACACTCTCTCCTCGCGCGCACCAAACGGACCAACAAGAGTGATTAATATATCTTATAAAACTTGGAACTTGTTTCACAGTTGTTGTAAATTAAATAATCTGAGGTTCTGCCTGTCTGATTGATTCTGGACAAGGATTGGTAGTGGAGAGGTCCAGAGTTCGATCCCCAGAAATTCTGTTTCCTTTTTATTCGTTTTAAAGAACAGTAATTCTGTGAAATGTATTGCAAAATATGTCTAAACAACTTTTTATATGTTGCCGATCCCGATATGCTCATCCACTTCTGGTGAGAAGTTGTCTGCCATTGGTGGCTTCAAAATTGACAGTGAGAAATATCTTCTTATCAGCTAGTGTTTGTTTGTAAAATATGTCTCTGGAGATACATGTATGGATGGGGAGGGGGTTATGATGGATGAGCAGGAACATAGGGGTGTGGGAAGAGAGACGTATAAGTCTGAACTCGATCTATTTTGTGAAATGTCTACTGACTTCTCGTTGAATAATGAGTCATAGGTTATTTAACTTTTTGCTGCTCAGAAGAAACCTATTTGTAAACATAAATGAAGTGATAAGTTACTTTCATTGGCGTACCAAAGTTACTTTCATTGGCGTACCAAAGTTACTTTCATTGGCGTACCAAAGTTACTTTCATTGGCGTACCAAAGTCTTGCTGTGTTTTTATACAAAGAAAAGCATTTAATACTTCGATGAACTAAACGTAACTATGGTTACTGTAGTTCAATGCCGAGCAACCGATAGTAGAGCCAAACGCCAGTATTACAGAAGACAAGTCCCTATTTACCGAATTCTGATTGGCCAAGACATAGTCACGTGTGAATCAATATTTATCAGTTAAAGACTTTTGCTGAGGTACATTTGTGGTTATCTGAACCTGAGGAAGAGATGCTAACCGGCACGAAAGCTCGGTTAATATTGTTCTCAGATCCATATAAACACATACTGAGTAAAACAAAAGTCCAAAACAGACGAACGTGATGTCCATCTCTAGGACGAGGCGAAGCTACATTATACGTGTAATATTCTATTTAGGACAAGATTTCCGTGTGACCAAGTCCTATAACTGTGATATTATATGGTATACATACCGAGCCTTTCCAGATTATCACAGCACAATGGAAAACATTTGTATATATACATTTATAAACGAAAATACAAATTCGAAGATAAATTCTTCTTGTGTATCACGATGGTGTTAAGTTTGTCGAAGACTTCCACAAGTCCTTCTAACTCAAAGTAATAATTACCATACAGCAAATGTTTCTCAATTTTAAAAGGCCTTAGAGTACGAGGGGTATACATATTTCGGGGTTTTATGGAAAAATAGCGTGGTTGAAGCATTTAGAGGAAATTGTTTGTGGTATTCTAAAAAAGGTTTTTGATGAAAAGGGTTACGAGTTCGCTGGTGTATATGTTTTTTTTCTGTCAGCTCAAATAGCAAGTAAATAGAACATCTCCTAATCAGTCTACTATATTGTGTGTTATAGGTGGAGATCCAGTTTAAGATGGACCGTCCGGTGAAGGTGACCGGGAACCTCATCCAGGTGTCCACTCTCAAGGAACACACAGATAACATCTTCACGCAGACGCAGGGAGACGTAGTTAGCTTCCTCGTCCAAATACCGGAACCAGGTTTCTACAAGCTCCAAATATACGCACTTCCGGTCTCTGACGAAAGCAAGACTCTTCCCGGAGTTTTTAACTATATTTTGAACTGTCCGCGTATTTCGAAACCTGTCCATCCCTTTCCGAAACAATACGCCCAATGGAAGGAAGGCTGCTATATATACGAACCCCTTGTGGTCTCTAAGGACGGTTTGAACCGCGGAGCCTCGTTCCGAGTGGTTGTTCCGAATGCCAAAGCCGTGGCAGCTGTCGTCAACGAGGAGTGGACGCAGCTTGACAACAAGGGAAACAATCTATGGGAAGGAAAGGTCAAAGGTAGCGCAGACAAGATGACCTTGAACGCAAACTTTGGAGGAGAAGAGTCGAAGTATTCCACATTATTGGAATATAACATGTAGATTTAAAGACATTCGATAGACAATCAGTAATCAATTTAGAGCCGGTATATCGTACTGTAGATTATTTCTCGAAGTGCACGCATCTTTGTGATTTGAATCGACTGTGGCGAATTTGCACTAGTGTGATTTAAATAACGTTAACTATACTTTCGTCAATAAACATTAACCGCAATATCTCCATGTCAAGAGAAATGTATTTGGTTACAGAATAATTGATCCGCGCATGTGCAATCAACAATCGATGTAGCGTAATCTCTTGTTCCGTGTGACGTCACTTCCATGTCATGTCTTCAAAGAGGTTCTGTCAAACACAACATGTGACACTGCGATGTTATTTCTAATTTTCTATTAAAATATTTATCCAATTGAATTTGGTAGAAGTTTCATTAATTTTGAGACGTAAGGGGAGTTGGAAGGGGATCTGATACAGTAATGTTTGAGCCGGGTGAAACGTTATTGTGATCAAGTACCGGGGTCTCCCTTTCACGGATTAATTTTCCTTCCGGAAGATTATCATAACTTGTCGTCACCAGGGGTATTTCCATGGCAACGGTAAACATAAGCAGACATATCTGGTTTGGTTTATTTGGTTTAATTTTATTTAACGTCCTATTAACAGCTAAGGTCATATAAGGACTGAAGCTTTAATGGAAGTGTACAACAGAAGTTTTAAGTGAAACTACCATCCCCTCAGAAAGCATTGCGTCTCTCAATTCTACTCTGTAAACTCACACATCGTCTAAGCAGAATTGTACTCCATTATTTGATACAACTAAGAATTAATCAGCTCCATCTTCGTGCATTGAATACGGCTATGTTTGATACATCAGTTTTGTTTTTTATTTTGAAAAAGTATTACGTCAAATTATTTTTCGAGTATTCTTGCGAGCCAACAGGCACGTCTACATCCGCTTTGAGAAGGAGAATGGATTTCCACGCGTAGTAGAGTTTACCAAATCTTAAATCACAACAGCAGATGACTTCAAATAGATAATGAAGTTATCTAAAATGAAAACAATCCTTATTCGATAATTAAATGTAGCTCTGTTACATTCCGCAAAGGCCATCTAGCTTGTTACGACATATACAACTATGACCTCGAGGTCAAATTATTTAGCACGCGCGATGTTTACAGCGGTGAAAGGATTTTAGCGCATGGACCCATGGGAGACATCGGTAAATCTGTTGTTTCACTATTGAAAAAATAAGAAGAATGACCGAATTTCAAACAACATCTGAAATATATGTTATGACTTATGTTGATAAATAAGATATCTATTTAAATAGTCCTTCTTCAAACAAAGAATCGCATTTTAACTCTGGCTAAAACACTGCAATCACCATTCACCGGAAAATGTTATCTGAAAAGGGATATTTTCATCAAAACACAGCATTTTACTTGAATTGAATTTATTGATATCAGCTAGTGATATGATACAGACGACACTAATAGAAAAGAAGATAAAAACAGATGATGGACAGCTCCTGAACCCCGCCCCAAAACTCGGATATTTCTACATTCCACGTTTTCATATAGCAGTGCGATCTGGCCCCACACTAGACATCTATCTGTCAAAATATTTAAGTCTGGTGTCAAGGCCAGAGAAAACTCGGGCTAAGATTGCCATTTTGTCTGTATATATTGACCTTGACATTCCATCAGTATATACTGACTTTGACATTACATCTGTATATATTAACCTTGACATTTCGTTTGTGTATAGACTGACCTTGACATTTCGTTTGTATAGACTGACCTTGACATTTCGTCTGTATAGACTGACCTTGACATTTCATCTGTATATATTGACCTTGACATTTCGTTTGTGTATAGACTGACCTTGACATTTCGTTCGTGTATAGACTGACCTTGACATTTCGTTTGTATAGACTGACCTTGACATTTCGTCTGTATAGATTGACCTTGACATTCCATCTGTATATATTGACCCTGACTTTTCGTTTGTATAGACTGACTTTGACATTTCGTCTGTATATATTGACCTTGACATTCCATTTGTATAGACTGACCTTGACATTTCGTCTGTATATATTGACCATAACATTCTGTTTGTATAGACAGACCTTGACATTCCGTCTGTATAGTTTGACCTTGACATTTCGTCTGTATAGATTGACCTTGACATTCCGTCTGTATAGACTGACCTTGACATTTTGTCTGTATAGATTGACCTTGACATTCCGTCTGTATATACTGACTTTGACATTCCATCTGTATATATTGACCTTGACATTTCGTCTGTATATATTGACCTTGACATTCCGTCTGTATATATTGACCTTGACATTCCATTTGTATAGACTGACCTTGACATTCCGTCTGTATAGTTTGACCTTGACATTACGTTTGTATAGACTGACCTTGACATTCCGTCTGTATAGACTGACCTTGACATTTCGTCTGTATAGATTGACCTTGATATTTCGTTTGTATAGGCTGACATTGACATTCCATTTGAATAGACTGACCTTGACAGTCCGTCTATACGGACCACGGACGGATGCGGTGCAGGCTGGAGTGCAGAGCCATCGAAACAGTTTTTGCGAATGTTGAACATCATTATTAAAACTGAAACCTCTATCTTAACAACCTCAGAAATAGAAAAGTCGCTTTGCTCCTCTCTGCAATCAGCCTCACTTGTATTTTGGTCTCATTTTAGCAAAGTCTCATCCTTAAATGAACGATTTTAGAGACCAAATTTTCATATGATAAAATATCAAAAGGTCACAGAAGAGGCTATGTAGAAAAATTAAACGCATCTTCAAAACACACTGAGATTCGAAACAGCGTTTCTACATTTCTGTTTCTCCCTACTTCTTAATACATATTTTTCGTAATACCTTGTGTATTACAGATAGTTGTTAAGGGATTGGGTCGCTATGCGCCTCAATGCTTTTGTAATTATACTGGAATTTGTTTCAAATATCCATAGGAAAAGAATGCTGAAAATGAGAAATACGTGAAATTTTATCAAAATTCAAAGCTAAATTACACTTTAATAAAGCCTTATACCCCAGATTACCCCAGATCGCACCATGACGCTTCTTAATTTCAATTTTGTTCTCGTTGTGGGCGGGGGGAGG